GCCAGCATTCTGCTATAATTTCAAGCTATTCTTGACTTAACTGCACTATTTAAAGTACTTTATTCATGCAGCCAGTTGTTCCTGTCCTGCGGTACAACCCTCATTACGAAAAGACAAATTAATATAAAACTGCTTTGTGTAGCAAGAGTCGCAATTTTGTCGTAGTAATTGTACTGATTTATGCATCATAGAGAAGTCGCGGTTTGAAAATTATAAGGAATAAAGTACTTTAAGAGTTATAAATGCGTGATATGCCTAACTTATGCATTATCTGATTTTCATACATACATATGTAATAAGTAAATATTTTTCATAGACTGGTTGAAACTAAACACCACTATGTATCGATTAGGGTTTTTTTTCAGTTTATAGCCGTCCATTGCTGGACGAAAGCCTCATATGGATGAGGCTCTCATGGATGGATGAACTCCAACCATCCCAATCTTAGACAGCCCACGTACTGATAGCAAAGGAGATGATATTTTATTACAAATTACAAATGCAATTTCAATCTATCCGTAACAGTGACTGTTTACAGTTAAAATTTAGAAACTTTAAATTTAAAATAACAGGAGATTGAAAATATATATGTTAGCTAACTCTTATTTTAATTCAAAGGAAATAAATAGCATTCACTCAGATACTTTCTATTAGTTATATTAATTTAGGTTTATGATAAATACCTTTTATTGATAAAAAACTTTAAATAAATAAGTTTGCTTATTCATGAGTGGATTAATTTCAAAGTTAGATCGAGCCACCGAAGGCTAAAGCAAAAAAAAAGCAAGACCGAACTTAAAGAATGGGTAAAGTTACCTCTATTAATTTTCGATGCACTACGTTATAGAAAACGTGTTTTAATTCACAAAGTCATTTTGTTTCAAAATTTTGATTTATATCAATTTTATAATACTTATTCTGTTAGTACATATGTATATTAATTACATGTGTACAAAATATGACTAAAAGTTGACGGTCCAGTAAATTCAGAAAAATTAAGCTGTAATTGATTGAAATAGCGAAATAGCGACACGCGATTGAACCATATACTTTACTAGCGACTCACCCTCGCTCTGCTCGGGTTCTTCCCTAGTTACTATTTAACATTTAGTATAGATTTCTGAGAGACAAGATATTTTGCCACAGTTAAAAGTATCCTATATATTGACCTGGATAAGCAGCTATTATTATACCAAATTTCATCAAAATCTGTCTAGTGGTTTTCTCGTAATGCGGTTACAGACAGACAAAAATTCTAAAAACTATAGATTCGGCCTCTGTATCGATAATAATGACTATTTCATTTTTAGAAAAATATTTAATGTACAGATTCGACCCAGTTAGAATTTTATTATATGTACCTATAGAAGAGCTCAAGATTTTATCGGATGTATGAAACTAAAAAATACAATTTTATCAATCTGACTGTAATGTAAATCTGTTTCACAATATTTTATTCGTAAAGGTAGATTTTCTTGTATCCTTTAAAAAATATTTGATCCTTGTACCCTTTAAAGAACATCTAATCAGTATTGATATTTCATATTAAAAATAAATTTACTCAATTTAATTAAAACTATGTAATTGTATATATGTACATACATACGTTTTAGTTTGACTTATTAATCTCTATTATTAATTTATCTCTCTAGTTGCCCATCAGAATAGGAAATTATTTTTGCATGCATCTAACCTAATAAGGGTGCTTAACGCTAATTAACACCACGCTACAATTCTTAGGAGCAATTCTGTATGAATAAACTACTCCTAAGAATCCGCGTAATTTCAAAATATAGGTTTTTACTAAATGCTATGAAAGTACATACTGTGTTGTATAAATAAAAAAAAACTATTTTTAATATTTTTCTCAAAAAAATTTATTAAGATCTTTTTTTAACTTTTTTTAACAAAATTTAATGTTTTGTGAAATATAAAATACATAATTTAAAAATGAATGCTAACGTTTTACTCAAAAATCTACATTTATATTTATATTTCATATTAAATAAACAAAAGCGCCAGTTCCTATTTATTGGTGTGAATCGTAATTTATGAATATTTGTGGTGAAAGTTGGCATAAACGCAGAATAGTGGCGACATTATTTGGCATAGTAGTTTTCATCTGCCTGATATATCTCGTAATTTTTGAAATACAATATTAAATGTGGCAAAGGAAATAACTACTATGAATAAAAGTATATATGTATTTGTAAGGAATATCTTTATTTAATTAACGACGTAATCTTACTAATCCGTATTAATATTATAAATATGTAAGTTTGTGAGTATCGATGTTTGTTACTCAATCACGCCAGACCGGCTGAACGGATCTGGATGAAATTTTGACACAAAGATAGATTATAGTCTGGAATAGCACATAGGCTACTTTTTATCCCGGAAAAATGTACGGTTCCCGTGAAATAGATTTGTTTTTGTTTTTCTAGAGGCGAACCCAAGCAAAGCGAGGCTGAGCCGCTATTACAAAATAATATACCATGAACATTTTCTCGATATATATTTTTCTCTATATACATATTATGAGCTGGTTATTTTCATGAGCATGTCATGACATATATCATGACTAGTGTAAGTTAGAGAAGTGAGAATGAAAGTATCTTTTACGTTAGATTCTTTGCGGTAACTTTCGAGAATACAGCAGATGTTAATACGATTTATGGCTTGCAAAAAGAATTATTCGTGAATTTAATCCTTCCCTCTCGAGCATCTTTAAAGGATAAATATATAATCCAATTAAGGAAATGACTGTATTTTTCAATATGTGTACAAATTATATTTATATATATACAAAATATATACTTAATTTCTTTGTTTGTTTGATCAGATATAAAGCAGTTGGGGGTCGTCATCCAATATAGAATGTGACTCATTTATAATATGGTATCAAAATATATACTTACACAGTGTGATTTCATTTCCTTCACTGAAAAACAAACGATGTATATAAATAATATACCATAGAGAATTATGATATACATATATTGCTAGAAGCGGATTACTATTATAAATGCGAAAGTTTTTGTATGTACATGTTTGTTACTCCTTCACACTGAAACAGCTGGACGGATTTAAATAAAATTTAGTACACAGAAGGCTACTTCTAGACACCTAGACATAGACCCTAGAACAGTAGTTAAAAAAAATTCTGTGTCTGTTTATCTGTTTGCTCTTAACGCAAAAAGTACTGAACGGATATTAGGTTTTTTTAAGTTTAAAGGATATATTGCACTAAAAGAAAATCAGTAACCGTGTTAAAAATAACATATTCAAATAGAAAATTGTAGGTGAAAGGCCTTTAGAAAAGTCCGTGAAAGCGGACGTATGTACGTCTATATCCTAAGGTACACAAAAACTATTCTTATATATTTTAAACGTACCTAGGGACGCGACCAAGCGACGCGAGGGTAAATCGTTAGTTTAAAATAAAACTATAACGTTGAATAAAATAAATGTAAAAGTTAACTACAGTTTTTAAAAAGTTATTACGTTGTCAATTTTAAACAACAGAAACTTTTTAAAATAGGTTTCTTTTAGTTAGGAATTCTGTACTATTTGTAGTAGCGTACGTTAGGTACTTGGTCATATTAAATTCTTTAATTTCGGCCGATATTGAGAATCAGGTTAAATTTAATTCGGCTACTGATATTTTCTCCAAAAGCTTCGAAATTATCTTTATTTGTTTTCACGATCCGCTGAAATTATACCAGCTTGCTACAACGCAGCTGCACAATTAAAACCCTCGCTATGACTATATTTACATAATTATTCAACGGATCTCGTTTCTGCTGTAATATATAAACAGAATAACTATGGGTACATTTGTCAAGACGAATGTGCTAAATTTTTGCTAAGATCCTGAAAGATATGGGAATTTTGTCTGAATTCATTATTATGAATATTTAGAAGTATTATTTCCTATAATCATTTTTTTTTAAATTATAAGAAACAATACTTAGACTATATATACTTTTATGTTTTAAAATTCTTAAAAATTTGGTAAATCTTTAAATAAAAGTCGGGCGTACTGAAAAATAAGTATATTTATTAATACACTTTGTGACTTGAAGACTTGAATATATATTGCCTTAGTATTGAAACCCAATATTTGCGTTTTCTACATTACTAGCGACTCACCCTCGCTTCGCCCAGGTTCGTCCCTAACCCCCCCCCCCCCCCAACGTGCGTTCACCTTGTCGTGGTGGGGGGGCTCAGTAGTGCCCGGCAATCCAACCGGGCGCGAAGCTAAGAAACGCACAGGGAGGTTGCCCACTTCGGTGGGCGGTGGGAGGTGGCCCTCTTTGGGGGGCGGTGTACTATGCGGGTTGCTCCTGGTACTTCTCTGATAGCAGAGTGGACTGTGGAGCAACCCCATGGTTGTGGTGGTCTGCTTCGGCAGACCTGTCGTCGGGGCGTCGTAGTTGAATGCGCAAGCGATCCTGCGACGCCCCATTAAGACGGGGGAAGGTTTTGTTGGGTTTTAGTGGGTAGTACTGGCTGTATTGCGCCGGTGAGTCCCACACGTCGTGCGTAAATGCATTTCCCAACGTTAAAAAAAAAAAAAATAGGTTCGTCCCTAGCTAGATTCCTCATATAAACTTTCAACCCTATTTTCACCCCCTTAAGGGATGAATTCCGGAATAAAAAGTATTCGATGTTCTTCCCAGTATCTCAAACTATCTTCTTACCAAATTTCATCTAAATCGGTTCAGTAGATCCAGAGACTACCCCCCACAACGTCAAAAACTTACAAACTTTACCTCTTTATAATATTTGTATAGATATCTTAGCAGCAAAACTGTTGGAATTTTGTCATTTTATTTTATAGTAGAATAATAAACGATACTTTAACCGTAACTTTTTCAATTAAACCACTTCTATAACACGAGCTATTATTCGAAAATGAAGTTTAAAATTGTAATGCCCAAATGCACAGCTAACAACTGGTACGTTCAACTAAGCAAGAAGGACGAGACGTCGACCAAATGAAAATTACGGTGAGCCACGAGCGAAACGAACTGTAAAAATAATGGCCTCCCAGCAATGCGACTTACATTGCCTAATACTCCCGCTCCGATTACTAAACTCTTATATAATTCCTGTATTTTCTCAAGCAGTCAGTTATTAACACCGTGTCGTTTATCTATTTATCTATATAAATAAAAATAAATGTTGCTAAGCGCAAAACTCCAGAACAGCTCGACCAATTCAGCTATTTTTTTTCGTATGTTCCTAAAAGTACACGGAAAGTTTTAATAAAGAGAAAAAATATAAAATAAAGTAAATTTATATAAAACAAAGTCATGTTAGTCAAGAACGGCGGGATTAATTTTTTAAATATTTGATTTTTTGGATTTCTATTAGTCCGGAAAAAATCCAAGAAATAAAATATATTAATATAAGTATTAAAACATCAGAACATATTACCGAAAAAAAAATTATATGGCTAACGCTGCCTAATAATTATTTATGTATATCTATTTAAAACGTACCTAGCGACGAACCCGGGCAAAGCAAGGGTGAGCCGCTAGTTTCGTTATAATTGTCAACATAATTATTATTTCTAAAAGTCACATTTCAGGAATTTTAGGGAGTGTATAAAAAATATAAAATTTTATTATGTATCTACACATTAAAAAAACGCTGCTTATCTGTATATTTGTTTGTTTATCTGGGTGCAAAAAGTAATGAACCCATTTTAACTAAATATGTGTAACTACATTGTGTAATATCTTATAATCCGTGTCAACAATTAGGGTACCTTTACCACAAAAAAGTCGTTTATTTCAACGGGGAAACACAAAAACTGGTTCCGTCGAGTCGTTAAGGCTAAACATTAAGAGGTATATCAAAACAATCATACAATGATCTAAAAAATTGTAGGCCTTAAAAAGACCTACAGAAAAGTCAGCGATAGCATAATTATGTCTATCTAGTCTTAATAAATTCTGAATAATTTATTCACGTAAAATAATTACCATATACCAAGAGATAAATATAATGAATATCTATTAATAGTAAATAGTATATCATACAAATGTTTAATCATAAATCCTGTTTAATACATAATGGCGATAAAAACAACTGCCTATCAAACTATTTCCTCAATGAAAACTCTCCGGAAATTAAAACCAGAGAAAAGTCCTATGGGACATTAACTCGCAGAGAAAAGGGGATTTAATTTAAAATTTGTTTTTAACCTTACATTTTGTTTACGAAAATATACTTGGAAAGACATTTTCCGAGTGGGGAAACCAACTAAGTTTACTAATTTAAAAGCTTTGTAGCAGCTACAAGGTATTTTAATTTTTGATCATCAGTGTTAGAAATTAATAAAGAATTTCTTATTGAAATTCCTTGGTTTAATAATATTACATTAATAAAAAATTATATATAAACTTTGAAAAGTTTAAAGTTTTTAACTTATATGTTTAAGTTGTAAGGCAACTTACCCTTGAATGAGCATAAAATATATGCATATACAATATACATTTATACTTAGTTATTATATACACCATCGATTCACACTATTAGTCTCCTACTATCCTCAGGATAACTGGCAGAGCCAAAAATCTATTAATTAGATATTCTACTAAAGCTATTAAGAATATTACATTTTGACCGTATATTCTATTACTTTCATTTGTTCATAACGCAGTCAAGTAGTTTAGTCAGGAATCCGCATTTGCACTCAATTCGTGCTCTAATATAATAGCATTAGAAGCGTACAGTAACATGCAAGTCAGATTGAATGATATCATTTCCTTAAATATTCTAATATTCCATTGGATAATATGTTACTGGTTATTATATTGACTACTTTACAGTGTGTATAGGATGTAAGTGTCTATTTTGTTTGCTTCGCTCTTGCTTGCTATAAAAGGGATCGGATGAACGCTTTCCCAAGGCGATCACAAAGTCGTATTTATGTACTGTTTATCAACTATATGTTCCTTATACTATTAATATGCTAATACAGTAGGTGAGTTATGTACTTATGTTGCCTCGACAGCCTCGCTGATCTATAAGTTAGCATGTACGACCGCTGATCTGGAGGTCCTGGGTTTGGTTTTTCTGTCAAAAAACTCTCAGAACCAAACCACAGTTGAGAAGTTGACGGTGCTTGTACCCCTAAGCCTCGGAGAGCACGTAAAATCGTCGGTCTTGCACCTGATCTCTCACCGTGTCGAAGTGTTCATCCACAGGAGATTGAGAATGAAAGAAATAGAGAATGTACATTTGGGGTATACTTATAATAAATAACTCATATGCAAATGGCTAGTCTCAGTGAGATTATCCACCGTGGCAGAAATAGTACAGGAGGTATTAATTATATTGTTATTATGTTTGTAATTGTAATAATATTTACTTTGTCAATCTTGATCAAATAAATGAAAAATTAAGCCGAAAGTTGGTTCCAAAATGTACCGAACCAAATATTCAGCCGAATTATTCGATTCATTTTCGTTAGTTAGTTATCAGATTTATATAGGTTGAATTATGGATAAAAGCTGTTATTATTATATGTTTAATTCAATTTTCTTGGTACTTCAAAACGTGCTATTTGAGCACATATTACTTGACAAGTACACAATTAGATCATAAGAAAATCACGTTTGAGTATAACTTGAGAAGGTTGAAAGCCAGGTGGTTTCCAATGCTCGATGGCAAACCTGTGCATCACTATTTTTCGTTTAAAAAAAATAGAATAGCCAGACGGACTCGTATTAGATTTAATATTTTAAATATATGTATTGTTGACGAGAGTATCAATGTGCAGTCAATACTCAAGTAATCAAATAGGTTATAATAATACACTTTAACCTTTTGTATCCTATCTAATCTTTTTCTGACTTCATGCGACACTTGTGTCAGTCTCAACTAAAACATTATAGACTGTAGTGCTCCGACTAGAAAGTTAAATTTTGATACCCTTATAACATAAGAATCAAGATTTCGGTATGTATTTTAATGTTGTTATTAGTAATTAATATGATGTAGTTAAATATATGCGCGAATTAGTCTAATTTCAAACATCTAATCCCATATAATAGCAATAAATATTAACACTAACTCCTTAGTTCAGTGCATAGTCTGATTGTGTTTGTAAAAATATGTTTAGTAGTAACAGAATTAACAATATAAAATTATATATATATTACTATTAACTAGGGACTTGCCCTTGCTTCGTTTATGGGAGTTCCTGAGCAACTTTATATATAGTATATATATTCTAATATATGTATGTACTTACATATATTCTAAGAGATCTCTATGCAAAAAATCGCTTCATTTAGGGACAAATCAATAAAACAAGAAACTACTTTGAGCTTCTTTGAGCTTAATGAATCATATCATTTGGACAGAAGCATTAAGAACGAATTTAAAAAAAAATCTTTTGGATTAAAACCTATTTTTAGGCAAAGCAGTATTTCGCCGGCTATTTATTTTGTACTGGACAAAGGTCTCTGTGGATCGTCTGTCTACTTTCCTACTCGCTTGGTCCTTCGAGACAACATCCACATTTGCGATGGGAATAGAATCAATTTGTCGAAGAAACTTCAATTTTCTTAAACAAGTCTCAATCTTATAAAAGAAAATCCTTATCGATAAGAGCTGACTGTAAGCACTAACCTTTACCAAATAAATGCAGTATGGTTGAACCATACAGTTCAATAAGCCATACACGATCTTTTTTCATGACCATTAAAAATTAGAATGTTTTAATTTTTCCTTTACAAATAATATTATAACAGTCAAGCACTGATTTTTTTAAATAGTTTAATTTCCTTCAATTCGACAATATCTGGAGGAACAAATAGAAGCCTGGCAAGTACACGCTCGACAAGTCTCACTAGGCGAATATGTCATTTTGTATCAGCACCACTTTGCAAATTTACATTCACACTGTATTACCAGTAGTGCCTTTAAACTACTATGATGATATCAATGCGCTCTTAATATTGTATTTTTATAAACAAATTTAGAAATACTATTTTGTGTGTGTTGTGTATGGTGTAAACTACATATATTGAAATATAATTATATTTACATTTAACTATATTAAAATATTGACTTGTTATGTATAAGTTTGTAATAACCGTAATATACAGTACTTATAAGAAAAACACAACTTTTTAATTTTTTGTCAGTCTGTTTGTTCCAGTTAATCCCCAAAACTGGTGGACTGATTTTGGCGGGATTTTCACTGGTTGATAGCTAGTGTTATAAGGTATAACTTAGGCTACTTTTAATTTAGAAAAAGAATTAGCGCATCCGAGCGAAGCAAGGATAAGTCGCTAGTTAAAAAGGTTAGCTAAAACTTAATTCACAATAAACACCACTTACAATTTAAATAATAATCTAACTTCGATAAGCAAATGGTTAAGAACTGCACGCCTTTCTGGCAAGTGTTGTAGGGGAAAAAAATAAGTATGTAAATATTTGACGTTTTCATTTCAGTACAAAATGTATGCTTCAAAAATAAGTGTACCTGTGCCAAAAATAGAAGATCGAATCTTTAACAAACCTTTGCTATGCGGACCAGGTCCCTGTGATGTTTGGCCATCGGTGGGTGAGGCACTCACTCGACCAGTGTTGTCACCAATATGTGACGAAATGTTTAATGTAAGTGTCGTTGTTGGATTTTAGCCTAAGTTAGTTTTTAGAAATAAAAATTTGTCAGTCCATAATTTCTATATTTCAAATAAGACTATCTTTTCGGTTTTTTTTTGTGATTTATTTTGATTTTAGACTCCCGACTTTTCGATATTTACCTTGCAATCATGGTCAAAGGAAAGACTTGTGTACCTATTATTTATATTCCTAATCCCATTAAATACTAAAAATTTCACCCAAAGACAAAAGAGCAGTGCTATTCTTAGTTCACTTGCATAAATAAAACGACTTAGTACAATTTTCATAAATGGGTAAATAGTGGTGTAAAAATGTGTATTTACATTTTTACACCACTATTTACCCATGCATGTTTCGTTTAAGTCTTAACGATTTCAAAACAAAGTACTTTTTACAAGTTGCCCCAGTTTAGAGTGCTCTTTCGTGACCTTAAAAAGTTTTAAGTAAGTATTAACGAAGTCACGTATTTTTGTTATTATATTTTGTATTAAAATTTAACTATTAATATAAACGAGTCCAGGTTACAACTTAATTAAAAAAAGTACTTTTAAATATACTAAATAAACAACAATAGAAGAAAGAATAGGTACTACAAAATCATTTTTTCAAGAATTGTGGCATGAACTGAGTGTCAGAAACTAACATAAAATACCATACTTGTGAGCGGGCGGGCATACACTGTCTTAATATATGTACATATAATTAACAAAAGAAAAACAGAAGAATAATATTAAAGTAAAAGTAGATATATGATATCGAGATGTCTGTAATTTCCACATAATTACCCAATATAGAGCTTTATGTACAATTATACTTGAAAAAAAACAATGTGTGTGTCTATTAATACCGGGTTATCCCTGAAATTACTGCACTGATTTTAAGGAGGCTTTCATTATCAAACAGTAGAATTGGGCCGGCCAATAAGGAAACGAGAGAGTTAACAATAGAAGAGAGAGAGAAGATAAATAGAGTGGCTAGAATCACCCCATCTACCTTAAAAAGAAAAGCGTGGATGTGGTTTATGACATTGTAAATTGTTTGAGTGCAAAATATAGATGAAAAAATATTATATAATAATTTATTATGAAAAACAAACATTTATAATCAGATTTTGTTATAAAACATAGAATACTTTTAAATAAAAGCAGAATAAAAATTCTTATACCGTCGTGATAAATTACTGAATAAAAAACTGTTTTATTAATAGAGTAAACGTCCAGTTTAAAATAAATTGAATCAGTAACTGCATTTACTCAGCACTGATTTACGGTCTGCTTGTATAAATAAAGAATATATTACGAATAATATAGTATGCTGTAATTCCTACTGAATGCCACATGTGAGACAAAAAACATTAGTTACTGGGAGGTAAAATCTTATATTACGTGTTCTTTTGATTTTTTTACTTAAACAGAGAAAATATTACAAGGAGCAAACTTTCATAATACGTGAACATTTATTATTAAAATTTTATTGTATTTTAGGTGTTTGATGATATGCGAGCCGGATTAAAATACTTATTTCAAACGAAAAGTAATCTGGTATTAGCAATCAGTGGTTCAGGTCACAGCGGAATGGAAACGATCATCTCTAACCTTGTGGCACCTAAGGAAACCCTTTTGATTGCAAGTAGAGGCATCTGGGATGAAAGAGCTTTTAACATTGCAAGAAGATATGGTAAATATTTGCCTCTCATACATATCACGCATTCAGTTTGTAATGGCTTTTAGATGACGTCAAAATTATAACAATTTTTTACTGATCTCTGGAGTCTAACATTAATTCGAATAGAAAAAGCCTCGATCCTAAGAAGTTCAGAACTGGAAATAAACTCAGCGAGACTATTTTTTTTTAAGTAAAATTATAAATTACAATAATACTACAACATTGAAGTAGCCTGGAGGCAATGACATCATCCCCAAGGCGTGCCATCTTCTTTAATATCATTTATTTGATTGTTAACCAATCTTCGATACAAATTTCGAGTGGCATTTGAAGAATAACCATCTCATTATTATATCTTCTAAATGTAGGTGTATTCACATATGTATATAACGTTGCTTGTCCTCACTAATTCATCAACGTCCAGACCAAACCGCTAGATACAAAAACGGTGAAAATGGGTCGCAAAGTTTAATTGTACCTACCTGTGTTCTACCTTAATTTACTAAAACTTGAATATATAAGATATAGGTGTTTTATTGTAATGTTTTAGGGAAAATATACATACTTTGGATAACACTTTGTTTTATCATAATATTATATTATTAACTATCTAATAGCAGGTTTTACGTTTTCTTCTAGGTATAACAATTCTTCACTAATCATATTATATGCCTGTCCTGGCTGGTTACCCTTAACATTTGGTTAAAATTTAAATTTGGATGAAATTTAACAGGTATCAACGCGGTACAGATTCGTGTTCCTTTCAACTCTACATTTAGTTTGGAACAGATTGAGCTTGAGTTAAAGAAAGTAAAACCGACAGCACTTTTCATTACACATGGGGATTCTTCTACGGGTACCGTTCAGAATCTGATAGGCCTTGGAGACCTGTGTCACAAGTAAGTGGGCCATACAGTTTTCTTTTTATATTATTGGCATTTTTATCTGCTTTTCCTATCGTAATAAATTATTATTTTATTACTTATTTAAGGAATTATCCATCCTAAATTGATCATTATATATATGATTAGACCTTCCGTGTAATATTTTTAAAATATTTTAATTGTTATTATGTTATTTGCTCTCTTATATTTAAAAAAGACAAATTTTATTCGAAAAGTATTTAAACTTATCGTAATTTTGGAAGCCATATCTTCAATCTTCATATGTTTCAAGACTACAGTAATCATAAATCGTTAAAAAGGGTAAATTTTACAGATATCATTATTTAACTATTATTAAAAGTATTAAAAAATGCTAAACACTCGTATAGAAAACCTTTCTCTCTTTTCGACTTGACCTTATTCTTTTGGATGCATATTTAACTGAACATTTGCATTGCATTTAATTCTCACATAACAAAAGGGGTTGTGACACTTTTCAAGGTAAATTCCCATATTTTATTACACGCGAGCTTTTGCAATATCAACACGCGTCTAAAGTGTTTATTTTTTATCTGGAACGTCCATTACTTAAACAAACACAAGACCGCCACTTTAATTGGATGTTTGTAATATAAAGCTTGATACAAGAATAATAAAAAGCTATTTTTTATCTGTACTAAAGTTTCGTTCTTCAACGAATGAGTGACAAGAGTTCTTGTTAGTAAAAAGTGTCACGCTGCTATATGATTTAAGGCTAGTGGAGACACAATTCACTCTGGCTTTCATAACGATATTGTTTGTTAGACAACATTCTTTCTTTGTTACCTTTTGTTTTTTGTTTTTTAAAGTTGGGAAATGCATTTACGCATACCACCTGTATACATACAGGTGGTTATGTGGGACTCACCAGTCAGAAATGTCAGTACTACCCACTAAAACCCAACAGAACCTCCCCTTTCTTAATGGGACGTCGCAGGATTATTTATGCACTCAACAACGACTCTAGGGTTGCTCCAACGGTCCACTCTCCTATCAGAGAAGTACCTGGAGCAATCCGCATGGCACACCAGGGACCGCATGTGGAACTATGTTTCGATAATATGCGTAAATGCATTTCCCTACATTAAAAGAAAAAAAATGCATAATGCTTATTAGTTTTTTAAAAATATATAAATAAATTAAATTTAAAGTATATAACAAGAACACTGGAACATTACGAACAAACAATTCTAGTTAAAATTTTGAGCTTATTAAAAGATAGTGAAAATAAATTAATGTCATTAAATATTTTATTATGTAATTTTCGTGATTGCAAGTGAGGATATTTTAATAAATATTACTTAATTAACATAATTTCTGATAATTATCAATAAAAAAACCATCCTGTGGCATCGACCGGAGATCCAGTAGGGAGACTACGTAAGTTGTTTCCTGATTATTAATTTTTGATCTATATAATAAGTGCTTATTTTTTAATATCTAACCTGGATGTTTTCAACTATTTTTATATATTTGCTTTACTGTGGATTCCAAACTGAAGAAGCATAATATTTAAGTAGGTATAGAAGGGACATAGGTATTATATAGAAAAATTAAAATAGAATCGTTACGTTTTTTTCCTATTCTGAGTATAAAGCCAAGCATACGATATGCCTTATGTGGTGAACATAGCTAGAAAAAGTGACCTAATGACATCACATCACATTTATTAAATTATTATTCAAAGTGTAATGGTATTTGAAAACTTATGAAATTTCATTTTTAATATTAAGAATAAAGCTATTGCAAAATTAACACAACCCATGAAGATCACTTTTAGCATAATTCACAATCATCGCTTTTATTGACAGCATTAAACATTTTCATATAGTAACTATAATTTGATAATCTAGTAATAAATTAAGTAATAATTACCAAACAATTTCACTCCAAATAATAATATGTGAAAATCTTATTTATATAAATAAAAAAAACGTCATGATCCGCCATCAACAAAACATTAATATTGTTAAAGCAAAAGACTGTTTGCATTGTATCTGCTTCATAAGTTATATTATGCCAAAGAATTTTCAAGAGTACACTTCCACTTTAACTGAAAAGAGGCCAAAGTAGAAAAACTATTTCATTTCTCGAGCCGGAGCGAGAAACGAGAAGCAGAACAATCTAATTATACAAGCCGTCCCTTTCCCTCATGACTTAATTTTTTTCTAACGTCTTAGGTCTCAGAACGCTTCCAAGTTGAAAACTGTTTTAATTACATCCTCTCAAGGAGGCCGCAATTAACATGCAGTGGAAGCGAGCAAGAGCAAGGCGAAAATTTAACACAAATGTTTACTTTTAAAATAGAAAAACCGCAAACTCTGCAGACATTTTTAATGTACTTGCAATGTACTGTTCTACATATTCTTAGATGGATTTAAATCGTAAAGAGATTGAATAGAGAAAGTATATTACAACCACAAAAAGTATTTTACTATACGTTAGAAATAAGTCAAATTGTACGAGTATAATATACGCTAGAGTTATTTTTTAATAAAGAATATGCAACGTTTTAAACTCATTTAAAAATCATTCCACACAACTATCATTCCTTGAGATAAAACGTATACAAAACAAAAGAATTATGAAAATGGAATCTCTTATCGCGTAGTACATACGAAAAAAAACAACACATATATAAAGAAACACCAATTAATTAACGCTTATGTAGCATTAAAAGTATATTACAAAATTATTAATTATTTTCTTTTTTATTAGATATGGAACGCTTCTTCTAGTAGATACAGTAGTGTCTATAGGTGCAGTGCCATTCTTCATGGACGAATGGGGTATCGACGCAGTGTATGCCTCAGGGCAGAAAGCACTGAGTGGCCCCGCCGGCATATCCCCGGTTGCATTTAGCGCACGAGCCGAGTAAGTTATTATACATTATAATATGGGACAGGTTGTTGTTCTAAAGCAAACCATTATTTCATTGCGAATTAAAAAAAAATTACTTAAATAGATGAAAGCGTTCCTAACAATATTATAAATGTTAAAGTTTATGAAGATGTTTGTTTATTTCTTAATTTTAAATTGTTAAATGTATTAGGATGCATTCATATTTATTTTTAATAAAACTGCATGAAGTACTCAATAAAAAGATTAAAGAACTTATTTTTAACTAAGCCGTTACACCGACATTTTAATCATCTTTTTTTATTATTCAACATAAATTACCCGAATTTTATACAGCTTGAAAAAAATAAATTTAATAATAATTCAAATATATTTCTTAAAATTAACTAAGTTGTTTGTATAATGTTCATAAATATGATGATGGTACATGATAGTGGTAAATTTTATTTTAGCTATAGATATAGTCTATATCGGAACAAGATCTGTATTTTTTTATTAAAAAGAAAACTACTTATTTCAGAAAGAAAATAAACGAACGAAAACATGATCCACCATTTTACTTCGACATCAAGTTGTTGGCACAGCAATGGAACTGCTACGGGAACACACGAGCGTTAGTATTATCTTATCTTTGCAACTTACTACATTAGTATCAGCGGTTTTAAGCAAGAAGCTTTCTAAAGTATTTCTATGCATTTACTTCACGTATTTTACTGATAGTTTTGGCCGTTAGGATCCCGTTCACTCTACATGCAAGTTAACGCATATATAAAAACATAAAGCATATTGTGTATATTTAATAAAATCATAAAAATAGTATAGAGTTTATTTACTTGTCGTATATTGTTTTTAATGTTAATATTATTGTAGAGCTAAAATACAGAGAAATAATAAGTTTGAATAACTGTGTTAAAAAAATACATACTCGAAATATGAATAATGATATAAAAGTGTTAAATGTAAACGTAAATCACTTACCGAATATAAATTACTTAATCATAATAAATTAAGTACAAAACATTATAAAAAAGTACGATATTTGAAACTTTTTAAGTAATTTAGAACAAGTACATTTAAACAAAAATTTAAAATTCTAAGTATTTTACCTGTTTTTATTCTATAGATACCACCACACTATAAGTCCACCTCTTATCTGGGCACTACGTTGTTGCTTACAAGAGATATGTAAAATTACTTTACCAAAATTCTGGGAGAGGCACGCTGAAACTACCGCACATTTCTACAAACGGCTGCAAGAATTTGGTTTTAAGTTACTTGTGCCAAGACCTGAAGACCGCTTAGCAACAGTTACCACTGTTGTTTTGCCAGATGGCTATGATTATATTCAATTCGTAAAATATATGAGAGACAGGTAAGGCTCTATCTATATACCATCAAGATACCGGTAATATACTACATATATAGCAAGTACATAATAAGTGGGAATACAAATCTGCGTTTGCCAGTATAGAAAGAAAAAAATCATTCATCTAAAGAATTTTTATTCGAAACAATATTTTTTAATTATCTTTCTTTAAAGCACACAAAAGGACACCTAAATCGTGTTAGCTTCATTTTATTTATGTTCGCATTTCTGATCTTACATTAGAAATGCGAAATAAAGGATTAAGAAATAAAATTATATACTTTATATCTATTCTGATAAATAAAATTGAAGTGTCTATTTGTAATATCAAAATAACAGCGTTTTACTAAATGCATATGAAATTATATACGGTACTTAAAAGAAAAACACAATCTTTTAAATTTGTGTCTGTCTGTTTCTTCCGGATAATCTCTAAAACGGCTGGACTGATTTTGACGGGACTTTCACTGGAATATAGCTGATGTTATAGAGAGAAACATACGCTACTTTTATTTTAGAAAAAGAATTAGGGTTCCGATCAAAAAACTTAAAACATACTCAAAAAATTAAAATGTCAAATATTCGCGTAAATCTAAGAAAGTAAAATTAAAATTATATAATTTATATTATATTTTCAGGCACAATATTCTAATATTCGCAGGCCTTGGGCCCACAGCTGGCAAGGCTTTACGAATTGGCATAATGGGAGTCAACTCAACTAATCAGGTTGCAAACGCCATAGCTGACGGAATGAGGGAGACATTGAAAGCTCTAACTAAATCATCACTTTAAATAATGTAGAATTAAATATTTTTATCATAAATAAAAAGATTAATTTTGTAGTATGTATGTTATAATCTACACATATGATAACATTCTGAGTCGAATCTGAAACAATAAATATTTTTTGAAAAATCTTATTGATATAGTCACTATTAAAGGCCGACATCTATAGTTTTTAGAATATTTGTCTGTCTGTCTGGGAACGCATCACGAGAAAACCACTGGACAGATTTTGATGAAATTTTGTATGATGATAGCTGGTTATCCGTTCAACATATAGGATACTTTTTACTGCAGGAAAATATCTCATCTCTGAGAAATCTATACTTAACCTTAAAACCCAAGCGGAACGACGGTGAGTCACTAGTACTTAATAATTCTCATAAAATATATAATATTATGTACATATATATGTTTAAACTAAATTTTCTTTCATTATATAAAAAAATGTGTTCATATACTGACAAGCTAGTAATTTGTAATGCAATTTATTTTATTGTTCTATTTTATACTTTTTAAAATAAAGGGTATCTTTCGAAATTTATAATGTATGAAAAATATTATTATTATACACCTACAAAACACAATTTCACTATGTATTCCTTGTAAACACAAAACAAACTTAATCATTTACGTGTACGTCGCTCTTTTCCATTCATTTTACCACCAAATATATTTTGGTAAATGCGAAATTTGTAAGTACCTACGTGTATGTTTGTTACGCCTTAACGCTCAAAGGGATGCTGGCTGGACGGATTTGGATGAAATTTGGTAAGTTAGAAAGCTAGAGACATATCCGAGAAACGAGGATAAGTCGTAGTCATAGATTATAAATGTTGAAATAAGAGTGAATAAAAAAATTAAGGAAATTACCGTAGCCTTGTCGTTGCTTAGTCACTAATCTATCCAACGAAGACCAATATAGATTTGCATTTGACCCTAATGAACCCGTTCGGAACCCGATGCATTGTCTCGTCACAGATTAATGTTGATTAAGTGAATTAATAAAGACCTAAATATCGAATCCCATGCTATTAAATGCTACAATTAATTTATCTTTATAAAATTATCAGAACAGCAGACGATATTTAATATAAAAGCCCAAATTAAATAACCAATTAACAAGATTATCATGATATAAAAGCACTTGAAAAAGGATGCACGGGATAATTTGATAAACCAGCTGCTGCTCCCAATAAGTGATATTAATTCTTTACTGCTATAATAATTAAAATATATGCACTATTTTATTGATTCTATATTTAACTAGCAGTACCCGCGGTTTTGCCTGCGTCCAAACTTCTTCCGATCGCTAACAAAATTCACAGGATCACCCGCTGGGCGAATCTGAAGATTACCTAAAAATTTCATCAAAATTGCTCCAGCTCCATCAGAAACATACATATAGGTACACATCGATTTTTATTTAATTTTACAACAATTTAAATTTATTTATTTCGGAAAATGGAGTCTTTTATGAAAATTTCGTGACACATCGATTGCGGCGCCACCTACTGGATCCATTTGTGTTTTCAAACCTTGTAGGGACCCACTCGAGCATACACAAAAATATCATTAAAATTGTCCCAGCCGTTTAGGAGATGATCAGTGGCACACCGACTGCAGCGCCACCTACCGGGTCCAATTGTATTTTCAAACCATCCAGGAGCCCATTGAAACACACACAAAATTTCATCCAAATCGGTCCAGTCCTTTAGGAGGAGTTGGTTAACAAACACACGTACAGAAGAATTATATATATTAAAATAAGCAATATCAAATATAAGACACATCCACATTCTTATGTGACCGTATATTTTTTTATTTTTAGTAATTAAACTACAGCACATGAGACACGTACCTACCAAATTTCAGAAATATAGCTCCTATAGTCTATATGACAAAATCACAAAGATTTGTTCGTGTCTTCTTCATTAAACGTAACATTAAGGAAGTAATCTGTGCTCAGCTGGCACGTTTTGAAGTCATTAACAAGATAATTGAATTGAATTGAAAGATTTTTGCCTTTTGGCTACGGAGCTTTAAAATGAAAACACCAACATTTTTTTATAGTCATCGATAAAATTATTTTAAGTACGCGTTGACCACTTTGTGAAAATAATTCCACTACACTGATAGTCTATGTAGTATGTACTCAGTTACAGTTTATATAATATGTAGTTTTATGTCAAGTAATAATAGTTAAATATTTATTTTACTTTTTCTTGCAATTAAAATTCATTTTATTTTTGAGAAGAAGTTAGATTATAAGAACACTGAACAATACCTTCACAATAATGACCAACAAATATGTTAATGTTTTTTCAACATTCATTGCAACGTAATACTAATAATATTTAAAAACTTAACTAATAATATTAATTAATAAATATTATAATTAATTAATTTAAAAACAATAACTAATAATATTTAAAAATATATAATTACTTAAATATATTATCATAATATAATAGAAGTTTGGTTATGCATTGCCAATTTTATAATATGCACTACAAATTGTTCGCGTATTAGTTTGTATATTCGACCATAATTATTACTGTAAGAAAAAATATATAAATACAATTGACCCAAGCAAACTAAATGTTTCCAATTTTTTAATTGAGAACATTAAAGCTCGTTAATAGGTAATAACTAAAAAAACGAGTGTGTGTGTGTACTTATGTATGTACGCACGTAGTAAGTTATACTTCTTTGGTGTAACAGAGCAAACATAGCTAAAGATTTCATCCCGTATGTAACAACTCAAAACTCTCTGTGTAAAAGAAATGCAACTAACTTCATCATGTCGCTTTCAGCTAACTTTATCATGTCGCTTTTTTGCTGTCGGGGTGCGCACGCATCGTAAAAATTTTACTCTCATAGTTTTTCCAAACATGCTAAAAGAAGTATAACTTCAAAAAGACAATCGTTTGACAACAGGGTTTTGTCTTTGCCTATTTATAAAATGCCTATAGTTAAGTATGTTTTTTGCATGCACTTTGAAACAAATTACGTAAGGAACATCGCCGCATACAAATTCGATTTGCTCCAAATACATTGTTGAAACGCGATTTCTGATTGATTTCCGGTGGCGCATACACTCTCCCATGTCGTCAGGTGCCTGCGTTCCCCACAAACAGTTATTCTATTGAATAAAGATTGACAGATTGCGTGAGTAAATGGTCTTCGTGTACACTTGTGAAAGGAAATTTGAAATGAAAAGCTTATTTTTGCCGTATTTCTTTGGTTAAAATTATGTTTAACAATAAAGGAGTGTTATAAATTATTACTAGCCCAGTGAAATAGGCATTTAACCGCGAAGGAGAAGGTATATATGTATAAATTATAGGTATATACGCGCTTTATAGGTTGCCAGAGGTAAGAAAAAAAATTTTTTAACTCTTTTTTAACTACTTTTTTTTACAAAGTTCATTGACAATATTTCATACGATCAATCAGTCTTAAAAAAGGAGAAAAAGGCAGAAAGCGCTTAGCGGCTTAGTCATACGTGCAGTACAGTAATGCTTAACTGTGTATTTTATTAAATAAACTTGTTTCATAAAGTTACAGAAGACAAATTCCATTTTTTGTCTGTAGACTTAAAAACATATCATTTGAAAGCAGTTTTGCGTACTAAATAAGCTACATTAAAAACAACAGCAGAGTTTGATTTCAAACGGTTGAGCAGAATAAAAATTTAAGTTTCCAATACTACAAATTCCTTGCAAAGCTTCAGGGTTCTCAAGTTATCTTACAAAACTAAATTTTTATTTATGAGTGTCATTGATAAATTTTATAAATACGTAAATATAATTTTAAATAAAACTATCTTTTCTGGTTTTTTCACAGAGTTGTTTTGATTTTTAGTTTCCGATATTTCGAATGCTTTACAGCAATCACGAAAAACCAAAGTTTTTGGGTGTCTCAAAGATCATTACATATATACAAAGTTGTTACAAACAGTACCTACCAAAAATCGTAAATCCGTAAATCTAAGAAAGCATTACGTAAATATAAGTTAGGTTTTGTTATATTTAGACTGAAACTTACATATCATCTCTTGCAAAATCAAATTGACATCCGCAGACATTCTAAACATGGTCTTCGCAAAATTACGAAAACTAAATACCTCTAAAGGAATAGGTCCAGACAATGTCTCTCCACTATTTATAGTTAAATGTGCACAGAATTGTTAATACTTACAATACATACATTTGTTCTATTGATTTAATGAATACAAACTGGAACAGCTTTAAAAAAGAAATCATAAACATAATACGTAATTCCCTCTAACCATTTATGTTATTGTATTATTATTATTTGTGTTTTAAATTACATGTAAATTTAATATTTTTCTGTCAAGTAATTTAATATATTGCTAAAAACTATGTAAATATATTATCACTTCTCAAGACCAGTTAGTAGCCTGTGGTCAACGATGCTTTTTATCGTCGGGAAATGCATTTACGCATACCACCTGATCCCCCAGGTGGTGATGTGGGGCTCACCGGCTAGAAGAGCCGGTACTACCCACTAAAACCCGACATCCCTTCCCCCGCCTTAGTGGGACGCCGCAGGATCGCTTGCGCATAACTACTACGGCGCCCCGGCGACAGGTCTGCCTAAATACTAGGCAGACCACCAAACCAATGGGGCTGCTCCACAGTCAACTCTGCTACGCCAGAGAGGTACCCGGAGCAGCCCATTAAACCAAACACCGCCCACCGAAGTGGGCCACCTCCCATCGGCTGCAGAGGATAGGGAGAGCGGCAACGAAACACCGACACTCCTCTTCCCCTGCCGCCCCGCCGCGTCCGCCATCAAACGGTGACGGCCCCGTCTAGGCCGCGGAAGGTAGGGAAAACGGCGCACCGAAATACCGGCACTCCTCTCCCGCCGCGGCCTGCCCATCATCCGGTTCCAACCCGGGACCAAGCGGTCCCACCACCGGTGGCCACAACGTCTTCGGCTCGAGGCCTAGACGAGCGGCCCCACCCAAGCCATTTGGTCCGCGCCGGATTTCTCCGGTACCACCCACCCTTCTAAGCGGGTGGCATGCCCCTATCCGCCACCTGGGGGACGCGCCCGGTAGGATTTGGCTTCTCCCCCGGATGGTCAACGATGCTGGTGTCTTAATTATTTATTTATTTATATAAGTTTTTTTAGATATAAGCTTTATAGTGAACGCTGTTTGTAGACCCAAATAAATAAAAAAAAATTATAGTAAAATAATAATTATTGTAATCTAATTATGTATTTTTGCCGTCTAATTGTTATATTCAAATGATGCATGTTGTGTTTACCTGTAAGTGGCTTTGCATTCTAGATTTGTATCCTTAAATTGTTATAATTAAATTTCTTGTGTATGTATGAAATGTAAAGTTGTTGGTGAACCTAATAAAGAGAAAAAAATATTAACTAGACGGGAGAATAAGTACAATTTACTAATGAGTTGAGTTATTAATTTACCTTAAAAAGATAAATATTGATATTTTTGGTTCTTAAATATTTTATCATTTCTTAATTTGATAAATAAATGGCTTCAATAGTTTACTGGTACCGGATTTACCATTATTTATTGTCGTTATAATATAAGGCACAAAGACCATTATTATTTTTAATCTCAAGTAGGAAGCATAAAGTATAACTGTAAATAACAGTGTAATCTTACACACTCTCAGTGGAATACTTTTTAATTAAATAGAGCGCTCCATCTCCGCTGCAAACTCTTTTAAGTAATTTCACGATGGCTCCGTAACAACCAGAAACAAAACTTCTCTAACTACATTGCGCTCTTTGCACTTAATAGCTAATCTATTACATGCTGCAAAGAGAAGAATTAACAAACCAACTGATTTTAAGAATTACACTAGAAAAATCGCTTTCTTAAAAAAATATTATTTATTTACTGTGAAGTTTTATTTACGTATTCCTGCTGAACTTCAGCTACGGAAGCTAATATTAGTAAGACTAGCGATAGGTCGAGATATTATAGTGCAAAATGTGTGTGCGAACACGTGCAGTCGTTATTCCTTTTAATTTCAAAGTTCGATTTTTCATAATATAACCCATTCAAGGCCCTACCCTAGACTCGAACCCTGTATGTTTGCATTGTATCTGCTTCATAAGTTAAATTATGCTAATTTATGAATTTTCAAGAGTACACTTCCACTTTAACTGAAAAGAGGCCAAAGTACAAAAACTATTTCATTTCTCGAGCCGGAGCGAGAAACGAGAAGCAGAACAATCTAATTAGACAAGCCGTCCCTTTCCCTCACGACTTAATTTTTTTCTAACGTCTTAGGTCTCAGAACGCTTCCAAGTTGAAAACTGTTTTAATTACATCCTCTCAAGGAGGCCGCAATTAACATGCAGTGGAAGCGAGCAAGAGCAAGGCGAAAATTTAACACAAATGTTTACTTTTAAAATAGAAAAACCGCAAACTCTGCAGACATTTTTAATGTACTTGCAATGTACTGTTCTACATTTTCCTGATTTAAATCGTAAGGAGATTGAATAGAGAAAGTATATTACAACCACAAAAAGTATTTTACTATATGTTAGAAATAAGTCAAATTGTATGAATATAATATACGCTAGAGTTATTTTTTAATAAAAAATATGCAACGTTTTAAACTCATTTAAAAAGCATTCTACACAAATATCATCCCTTGAGATGAAACGTATACAAAACAAAAGAATAATGAAAATGGAATCTTTTATCGCGTAGTACTCGTATATACGAAAAAAACAACACATATATAAAGAAACACCAATTAATTAACGCTTATGTAGCATTAAAAGTATATTACAAAATTATTAAATATTTTCTTTTTTATTAGATATGGAACGCTTCTTCTAGTAGATACAGTAGTGTCTATAGGTGCAGTGCCATTCTTCATGGACGAATGGGGTATCGACGCAGTGTATGCCTCAGGGCAGAAAGCACTGAGTGGCCCCGCCGGCATATCCCCGGTTGCATTTAGCGCGCGAGCCGAGTAAGTTATTATACGTTATAATATGGGACAGGTTGTTGTTCTAAAGCAAACCATTATTTCATTGCGAATTAAAAAGAATAAAAATTAATTAAATCGTTAAATGTATTAGGATTCATTCATATTTATTCTTAATAAAACAGCATGAAGTACTCAATAAAAAGATTAAATAACTTATTTTTAACTAAGCCGTTACACCGACATTTTAATCATCTCTTTTTTATTATTCCACACAAAACACCCGAATTTTATACAGCTTGAAAAAATAAATTAAAAAATAATTCAAATATAATTCCTAAAATTAACTAAGTTGTTTGTATAATGTTCATAAATATGATGATGGTACATGATAGTGGTAAAATTATTTTAGCTATAGGTATAGTTTATAACGGGACAAGATCAATATTTTTTTATTAAAAAGGAAACTATTTATTTCAGAAAGAAAATAAACGAACGAAAACATGATCCGCCATTTTACTTCGACATCAAGTTGTTGGCACAGCAATGGAACTGCTACGGGAACACACGAGTGTTAGTATTATCTTATCTTTGCAACTTACTACATTAGTATTAGCGGTTTTTTTTTAACTGCCTCCGTGGTGTAGTGGCTAGCATGTACGGCTGCATACCCGGAGGTCCTGGGTTCGAGTCCCGGGTCGGGCCAAGTTTAGTTATTGAGTCTTTCTGTATAAGTAAGCCTCAGTAACAGCCCGGAGTTGGGAAGTTGGCGGTGATAGAGAGTGCACTTGTGTCTGCGCGTACATTGTGCACTATAATATCTCCTGCGCAGTTGGCTAGTCTCAATGAGATGGCCGCCGTGGCCGGAATCGGTCGGGAGAACAACATCATTAGCGGTTTTAAGCAAGAAGCTTTCTAAAGTATTTCTACGCATTTACTTCACGTATTTTACTGATATTTTTAACCGACTTCCAATTCCAAAAAGGAGGAGGTTCTCAATTCGTCGGAATCTTTTTTTTATCTATGTTCATCGATTACTCGAAGACGCCTGAACCGATTTGGATTTTTTTTTGTTTCAAAGGGTATACTTCCTAGGTGGTCCCATATAAATTTTATCGCAATCGGTTGAGCAGTTTTTTTTAAAAATCAACAATAAATATTTTTTTTAATAAATTGTTTAATCGAATATGTTATTAAAAAACGTTGTTCTAACAAATTACCTGCTTATTACGTCTATACTAAAAATGCAAAAATAAAAACTTTTTAACAAAAAATAAAACCGACTTCCAGGCACTAAAATGTAAAAAATAACTAAACGGAGGTTTTGAGGTTTTCATTTAGAATAGATACCTAAGCAGATATTTTCGTATCATATATGTTTAGTATTATATTACATTTAATTTATTAGCAATAAACAAATTGTGTAATAGGAAGAGGCTAGCGTCTGAGATACAGGCTCGGCCTAGTTCAGACGTTAGTATACCTAAACAAAGATTGTGCTAATTATATAGTTTAAAAAAATAAATGTCTTGTAACCCTTTTGTATTTACGTCAATAAAGGTATTATTATTATTATTAGTTATTTCTTACATTTTAGTGCCTGGAAGTCGGTTTTATTTTTTGTTAAAAAGCTTTTATTTGCCATTAAGATCCCGTTCACTCTACATACAAGTTAACGCGTATATAAAAATACTAGCGACTCACCCTCGCTTCGGTCGGTTTCGTCCTTAGCTTGATTCACCATACAAACTTTCATTCCCATTTTCACCATCTTAAGAGATGATTTCCAGGATGGAAAAGTATCCTATGTCCTTCCCAGGGTCTCAAACTATCTTTTTACCAAATTTCATCTAAATCGGTTCAGAAGATCCAGAGATTACACCCTACAACGTCACAAACTCACAATTCACAATCTCACAAGCTTTACCTCTTTATAATATTAGTATAGATGAAGCATATTAAGTATCGTAAGAATAGTAAAGAATTTATTTACTTGTAATATATTGTTTTTAATTTTAATGTTTATACATTTTAACTGTAGAGCTAAAAACAGAATAATAATAAGTTTGAATTAACTGCAAAAAAAATACATACTCAAAAATATGAATAATGATATAAAACTGTTAAATGTAAACCTAAATATATTTTTTTATGATATTCAGTGACAAACGAGCAAACAGCTCACCTGATGGAAAACGATACCTGTCGCCCATAACACCTATGGTTCATGCACTTAGGTTTTATGTTACAAAAATACAGAACCGCAGGTGCGTTGTCACTGTGAGGACTAAGATGATATACCTCTTGCATTTAATTGCGCTGGCTATCTTATGCTTCAAACCGGAACACAACAATGTAATCATTGTTGCTTGGCGGAAGAAATAGATAAGGGGGTGGTTAACCCATCAAGTCGGACTAATCAGGCTTAACAGAGTCCTACCACCGGTAAATCACTTACCGAATATGTATTACTAATCATAATTAATTAAGTACACAACATTATAAAAAAGTACGATATTTGAAACTTATTAAGCAATTTAGAATAAGTAAATTTAACCAAAATTGAATATTCTATTTTATCTGTTTTTATTCTATAGATACCACCACACTATAAGTCCACCTCTTATCTGGGCACTACGTTGTTGCTTACAAGAGATATGTAAAATTACTTTATCAAAATTCTGGGAGAGGCACGCTGAAACTACCGCACATTTCCACAAACGACTGCAAGAATTTTGTTTTAAGTTACTTGTGCCAAGACCTGAAGACCGTTTAACAACAGTTACCACTGTTGTTTTGCCAGATGGCTATGATTATATACAATTCGTAAAATATATGAGAGACAGGTAAGGCTCTATCTATATACTATCAAGATACCGGTAGTATACTATATAGCAAGTACATAGTGAGGGGGAATACAAATCTGCGTTTGCCAGTATAGAAAGAAATACAACATCTTCATCTAAAGAAATTTTATTTGAAATAATATTTTTTAATTATCTTTCTTTAGAGCACACAAAAGTACACGTATGTTAATCGTGTTAGCTCCATTTTATTTATTTTCGTTTTTTTAATATAAGTAAAGGATTATGAAATAAAATTATATACTTTATACTAAAATTAAAATTATATTTTCAGGCATGATATTCTAATAGTGGAAGGCCTTGGGCCCACAGCTGGCAAGGCTTTACGAATTGGCATAATGGGAGTCAACTCAACTATTCAGGTTGCAAACGCCATAGCTGACGGAATGAGGGAGACATTGAGAGCTCTAACTAAATCATCACTTTAAATAATGTAAACTTAAATATTTTTATCATAAATAAAAAATAAAACTTTGTAGTAATTTAGAATCTTCACATACCTATAATAAAATTGCAACTGAGTCAAATCTGTAGTAATACAAATATTTTTTTTTAATTTTATTGAAATAGTTATTATTATCGATACAGAAGCCGAATCTATAGTTTTTAGAATTTCTGTCTGTGTATCTGGGAACGCATCGCAAGAAAACCACTGGTCAGATTTTGATGAAATTTGAATACAAAACGCAATTTCACGGTGTATACATTGGAAACGCAAAAAACTTAGTCATTTAGGTACGTCTACGTCGCTCTTTTCCATTCATTTAACCACAAAATATAGATTTTAGTATAATATGTGAACATGATGATGATGATGATGATGATGTGAAGTTTTGTAGATACATGTATGTATGTTTGTTATGCCTTAACGCTCAAACGGATGCTGGCTGGACGGATTTGGATGAAATTTAGTAAGTTAGAAAGCTAGGGACACATCCGAGACAAACGAGAGTAAGACGTAGTCATAGATTATAAAGATTAAAATAAAAGTTAATAAAAAAGTTTAGGAAAGGACCGTAGCTATGTCGTAGCTTAGTCACTAATCTAGCTAACGAAGACCAATATAGATTTGCATTTAACCCTAATGGCTTTGCGGTTCGGAACCCGATGCATTGTCTCGTCACAGATTAATGTTGATTAAATGAATTAATAAAGATCTTAATATCGAATCCCGTGCTATTAAATGCTACAATAAAATTATCAGAACAGCAGGCGATATTTAATATTAAATCCCAAATTAAATAACCAATTAACAAGGTTATCATGATAATAATAAAAGACACATATTTACCTATTAGATATTCATATCTTAAAATATTGTTGGCTGGCACCGACTTCGAAAATATCTGATTAGGTATCTATTCTAAATGAAAACCCCCGTTTAGTTATTTTTAACATTTTAGTGCCTGGAAGTCGGTTTTTTTTAAGTTTTTATTTGTCCATTTTTAGTGTAGACGTAATAAGCAGCTAATTTGTTAGAAGAAAGTTTTTTTTAATAACATGTTCGATTATGCAATTTATTTAAAAAAATAATTTATTTGTTGATTTAAAATAAACCGCTCGACAGATTTCGATAAAATTTATATGGGACCACCTGGGAAGCATACCCTTTGAAACAAAAAAAATCCAAATCGGTTCAGGCGTCTTCGAGTAATCGATGAACATACATAAAAAAAAGATTCCGACGAATTGAGAACTTCCTCCTTTTTGGAAGTCGGTTAAATAGTTTGACTACAATGATAGCCTATGTAGTACGTACTCAGTTACAGTTTATTTCGCTTAATTTTTACATATATAATATGTATGTTTTATGTGAAGTAAGAATAGTTAAATATTAGTTTTACTTTTTCTAAGAATTCCAATTCATTTTGTTTTTGAGAAGCAGTAAGATTATAAGAACAACACCTTCACAATAATGACCAACAAATATGTTAATGTTTTTTCAACATTCATTGCAACGTAATAACTATTAATAATTATAACATTTTATAAGTACCTAAATATATTATCATAATATAAGTTTGGCTACGCATTGCCAATTTTGTAATATGTACCTACCTACTACTAATTGTTCGCGTATTGGTTTGTATATTCAACCATAATTATTACTGTAATAAAAAATATATGAATACAATTTACCTAAGCAAACTATTTCCATTTTTTTGATTGAGAACACTAAAGCTGGTTAATCTGTATAAATATTATAAATTTGAAAGTTTGTGAGTATGTATGGATGTTTATAGTAAGAAGGATTTATTTTTTTGTACTTTTGTTTATTTTGAAAAACACAACATAAATAAACTCATACTACGTTTAACAATGAAAGCTTTTTAACCCTCAACAGCTCTCACATTTATTAATATATTTCAGCTGAATAAATTCAATGCGAAACACGTCTTTTTACGCTATCTCTAGAGATTAGGTACAATATGTATATGAATTTCATCACATTATCTTGCAAACTTTATAATACGTCAGTTTTAATGTTCGTATTTTCTTACATCCTGTCCTATCCTGATATACTCAATATTAATATGTACTTTAGCTAAATGAGTATGCAATTTATTAAAATATATATATATATATATATATATATATATATATATATATATATATATATATATATATATAAAATATAACAATAAATTAATATAATAATAATTTAATAAAAACCCGATAAATTATGACCTCTTCGTATTATTAGATAGTTTCATTAAAATATTTGTATAACTTTGATAAAACTAATTAAATATTTCTTGCTGTCGCCAAATTGCTCGTACATAATAATAAAATAATAAAGCAAGAATTGTTAATGAACTTAGAACTTATAGTAAAAGGAATAATGGGGCGGATGTTAGAGACAGTGCTCCACCGCAGACAATTGTATGTGGCGCCATTGGCATCGCACCCAGTTGTAAATGACTGTACATTACACTCATAAAACTAATCATAAATATTAAATAGTAAAGCACCGTTGACTATAAAAAAGCTATCTTTATAACTAGAAACTATTTGATTTCCATGTTTTTATTGTCTCTTTCCTTCGTATACCTCTATACACCAATAATGACTACGTACTAATATTATGTATTAAGCCCTTTTTAACGTCTCACTGCTGGGCACGAGTCTCCCTTCAATACGAGGGAAATCACGCCATAGTCCAAAACGCTGGGCAAGTGCGGGTTGGAGGACTTCACATGTCTTTCGAAAACTTGCTAGGTTCTCTCAGACATGCAGGTTTCCTCACGATGGTTTCCTTCACCGTAAGATAAATTGTAATTATGTTAGAAATGTTTCGCACATGAAAATACCAGAGGTGCGAGACCCGGAATTTGAACCCGCTCCACTCTGTTTCCGAAGCGAGCGCTTTACCACTCGGCTACTACTGTCTAGTGTCTACCAATGTCTGTATAAAACGGGAATATTATCAATTGTATTTTAAACTGAAGACTTCTTCCTTTTTATTAGAGAAAATTACACGTTTTTTTTTTTTTTTTTTTAACGTTGGGAAATGCATTTACGCACGACGTGTGGGACTCACCGGCGTAATACAGCCAGTACTACCCACTAAAACCCAACAAAACCTTCCCCCGTCTTAATGGGGCGTCGCAGGATCGCTTACGCATTCAACTACGACGCCCCGACGGCAGGTCTGCCGAAGTAGACCACCACAACCATGGGGTTGCTCCACAGTCCACTCTGCTATCAGAGAAGTACCAGGAGCAACCCGCATGGTACACCGCCCCCCGAAGTGGGCAACCTCCCTGTGCGTTTCTTAGCTTCACGCCCGGTTGGATTGCCGGGCACTACTGAGCCCCCCCACCACGACAAGGTGAACGCACGTTGGGGGGGAGAGAAAATTACACGTAATCTAACATCATTCAACTAAAGCTTCTATTTTTATATTGTCTACTTTAAATAAATAATCGATTAGGAATCGTGAGGACAAATGCTAGATATTATATGTTATTCCAATCTAGTCTAGGTCTGGCCTTGACTGCACTATCGCACACAATTTTAGTGATGCTTGAAAAACAAAGCGAATCTATTGGAATTTAGATTTATTAAGTACCTAGATATTCGTTTAACTGTGTAGATTTTGCATTAAAGTATATATAAAAAAAAAATCGTTACATTTTATTTATTTATCTTAAAATTGACCGTATTTTTTCATATTTATTTAAAAGCGCTGATGGATCGCGTTTTCGGATTTTTACAAAGTTAATGAAATATCGCTCTGGGTAAAATATGAAAAATAAATATTTTTATATACGTTTCTTTAAATATGGTAATTAAACTTTCATATAATCTCGAGTGATGTGTCTGACACACAGACAATTAAAAAACCGCTGATTTTACTTTTATTAAGTTTATACATACAATATACATATATCCCAAACATTACACAAACAAGTTGTCCAAAAGCGTCTTACAATATCACTAATTCATTATTGTACTATAACTACATAACAGAATTAAGGTCAAGTCGAAAGTTATTCGACTTAATTTCAAAATGTTATATCAAAATACTTGTACATTTTCTAAGATGTTACTGTAAACGTATACGACAATGTTACCGGCGTTGGTGACCGAAAAAACTTTTACGATTTCTTTTATCGACCATTTGGGCTATAATGGTTGCCTTTTGTTCCGATGCAGGGCCTAATCTTTTAAGCACTCGTTTACTTGATTCGGGTCACTGAAAGTATTATACAAAGTATTAAATGATGATATCAAATATCGTATCGAATAACGTAAGCTACCGTAATCCTATTACGATTTTTTAATATAATTAGTCCCACTAATACGTAAAATAGCGTTTTATCATAATTTAAATCATGTTTATTATAAGCATCTATCTGGTCATGGCTAATGCTCTAGTAATTTTTAAAGAAAGCAGATTACCACCAAACCAGGTGGCACCCAACTTATGTATACAAGAATTGCTAGTTTAGCTCAAGTAAAGGCCTTAAATTTATTCAGACAACGAAATTAAACATGCCTACGTTAGGGAAACGAATCAGGAGTAAAGCGTTTTATATTTTTTTTCGTATGTTAGTAAATTCGTCCAATATTCAATATATGGATTTCAATAGAATTTTAAAATATGTAAAAGATTTATGAAGCCAAAAATTCAGTCGATCAAATTCTACGGTTTCACTAGTTTCACGTTACTATATTCTCATGTTATATGCGAAACAAAGCGTTTAATAATCATGGGCCAAAGAGAAATACACATTTAGGTAAAGCTACTATAAATTAAATTAACCAAGTAGGCAATTGATCTAAGTTATATTATTATAGTGCTCCACGTTAAGCTGTCATATATCTATACATATAATAAAATTGTAACTAAGTCGAATCTGTACATTAATTTTTTTTTGGAAAATCTTATTGAAATAGTCATTATTATCGATACAGAGGC